CCCTTGAAAATATATTTGAGAGAGGAGAGCAGTATACAGCAATGTTTTCTTGTTTGCTCAGTTTCTATACTTTTTTTTTTCCTTAAATGGCTTGGCACTGGTTTATGCTTCATATAAAATATTTATTATTGTCTTATTTACATTAATTTTGAATGCTTGATCAGAAGTTGGATCTCTCTCTAGTTTATGTGCTCACTTCCCAATAAACCAATTAAAAGCCAGCTGCTGTGCAAGAGAGAGTGAGTATGAATCAGATCCTCTTTCCAAGGATTGTTCTTTTATAGATTGCTCTTGTGTCCTATTTCCCTGGCAAGAATTTAATTACACTGAAGACAGACATCTAATATTTCACTTGAGGATGGAAAAATCTAAGAGTCCTTACCATTTTCCAGAAAAAGTTCTGGGAAATGCTTTTAGGGAAAGCAGTAGCTGTGCTTGTTATCTACCTGCTATTCTATTCTACGTACAGAACCAGATACTTGGTCATCTTGTATTATCTGATCCCTCTCATGGATTTGACTTCACAACACGTGCTGTTTGTGTTTTCACAGAGGTTCCATTAAGTTGTCTGTCCGAGCTCATCTTGGAGGGCTGTGTTTGTGCAGAGAGATTAGGTTTGAGGTGAGGAGTCCCTTTCTGCCTGTGTCCAGATGTTAACAAGTCTCGGTGTCTCAAGATGCATCTCAGACACTGGTGGGATTGCTAGAAGTAATGATGGCGCCGACTCCCACCACTTGGGATTTTTGCTCTAGGACGGCTTTTTGTTAGTTTTTAGTCTAGGAAGATTGCAGTTTGGGCAAAAGCAATGATTTCTGTCATCCTTCTCTGCAGCTTTGCAATCTTTTGTACCCCACAGTGATCAGATGGCCTTCCTTTCAGTGGACTGTATTCTCCACAGGCTCCAGACAGCCTTCATTGTCTCAGGGTAAATATTTTATCTACATTTGCTCTTATTTGTCCTTACCCTTGACAGTGAAGCACAAACACAGTCTCTTTCGTTGATGCAATTAAATGAGAGTTCCTTATAGCTGGGAACAGTCCATGAGAGCGGGACCCTCGCTTAAATAAAACTGAGCTTTTCTGATGGCACCTGAGCCAGGCATGGGAGAAACTGGTGTGGGCAAGCAAGGGGCTGGGACTGCCAAGTGCTGTGTTTATGACAAAATGGTACCAAGGAGCCAGCTTGCTGCTACTTAGAGATTTCTGCAGAATGTAACGTGGTTTTTGTAATTGGACAGAGAGCAGGAGCAGGGCTCTGGGTAAATGCCATTTGTAAATAAATAAATTCAGTCTGAACAGAAAGAAATAGCTGTATTTTTTCATGGTAGAAGACCCCCCGAGAAGTCAGTACTTATTAATTATTATTTTCCCAGGCTATCCACTTCCTGCCCCACTGGACACTTAGGAGCTGCTGCTTCGAAGTCTCGATCATCCTTGTGTGTCTAGCTGTCAGCCACAAGGACTCAGGGATCCAAATGTCCCGTGAGGGTGGTGTATTTTTCTTATATCTCTTACTCGGAGCTGAACATTGGTTTGCTGATTCAGGTTTTATTGGGTGTCATTCTAACTGTTGCACTGATGACAAAGAGCAGTCTCTCTTCTAGCAGATGTAGCTGTAAACACCGCCAGCAAAACAGACTCCTGGACTTGGTGATGTTTCGTGTGGAGTAACACACGCTAAATGTGGATGCCTTGGTAACAGCCTTCTGTTTCAGGCTCTGGTCATGGAAGAGATACTTCTGTGGGAAATCCTGCGGGGTGAAACTGTTTGGTCCCATCCTGACTGCATTCTCCTTTTTCAGCTTTTTGTCTTCTGAGGAAACATGCTGCCAGAGAAGCCTTAAGGCGCCCACATGAGTTCAGCATGGAAGGAAGATGTCCCTTATTCTAGCTGTGTGTGAACATGCAAGCTGCAAATGATGCCTCCATCCCAGGTCTCTTTTGAGCACAGGAGAGGAGGTGGTGAGGATTTTAAAAACTCAGCTAAGCATCCTCTCAGTCAGGGCAGATTCAGTTAGCATCATGCCAACAAATACACATTTTGGGTATGTTTAGGACCAAATACTGGTCTCAGCTAAGGCAACAGCAGTTTTACTATTTAGTTCAGTGGGACTCAGCTTTACTCATTTCACTCCCCCTTACTTCAATAAAAAGAAGCCTTATTATCAAAGAGCAAAAAGGAAGTGAACCAAGTGGTCTCCTCTGTGCCTTTTTATGTTGATGGAACTGTACCTCTTGTAAGTGATTAAACTTCACCCTGTATTGATGTGGGGCAGAGTCACAAGCTCCTAGGGTAGGGGTTTTCAAACTGAGATCTGCGTACTGCTGTTTTGTCTGTACGCATCGATCTGTGGGATCTGTGTAAGGTATTTAAAAAAACCCCAAGGCTATTCCTGTGAATTGTTGAGGGGTCTTCAAAAAGGCAGACACTTTTATAGAGCAGATCTTGCTGATTTTCATGGGTGTTGCAGTAAAAAATTCCATGGGTGGTTTTGAAAAATCTACCATAAAGACGCTCTTGTCTAATTACATAAAACAACTGCCTGGCTCCACAAAGACCTATTCCTGTGAGTGTTCTCTTGACAAGAATCATTTTAAGTGAAGAAAAGCACAGGTCTTGAAGATTTTAATGATTTTTCCAAAACCTATTTTTAATATCTATTCAATTGTACTGTTAAAGAACAAAGTTATTGTTCAAGTTTAGTATTTAGTCATGTAAGATTTGACATCTTGATTATTTTTTTTCTCATATTTTGAAAGGATTAGGCAGTGGGCATTTGAAAAGTCTTGACTGCACTGGTGAGACTACATCGTATGGTCTTGGTGCTCAAGTCTCAATCCTAATTCTACTAATTTTAATAAATGCGATTCATGATCTTGCTTCTGTCATTATATAAAAATCCTGGATGATTTTAAAGATGAAAATACACCAACAATCCCCTACTGAAATTTAACTTAACTCCAAACTTCTTCCTTTACAAAATCATACAAAGAATGAAGAGCATACAGCAACTAAACAACAAAATAGAACCCAAAAACCTACCACAGCAGTTTAGACTACAAATATTCTTCACTTAAGTTATAGTTATTACCATGTCCTTGAACAGGCTGGATTACTGTAATTCAGATATAAATGGTGTGTTCCCATACCCAATGTACCAGTGCATCTGCAGCAATGGTATGGCTATGACAGTGTAGTGCTCATGTGTAAAAACAATTGAAAGGACTCACAAGCAGGAGAAAAAAAAAAATCATATATTTGAAAATCTTTTTTGTTTAGGTTTCTTGGTTACATTTCCCACTGGACCCAAAGGAAACTTAATCTACATTTTCTGTAATTAAGGTATGATGCAAGCTATGGAATCTCCAACTTTTGTGTCAGTCTGCAAGACACTGGTAAAACTAAGGAAAACCACCTTGGCAGTGGTTGTTAGTGCGCCTTTATAGTTCACACAAAACTTTGTGTTTCTTGTTTCAGAGGAAAGAGAAAGATATTTTCCCAGTACTTTTAATTGTAAATGGCCGCTTTCATTAAGGCCTTGTCTCTGCTTAATGTCCTTGATGGGAAGAGCATACCCTGCCTGAGTGGATTTCAGGAACGTGCTCGGATGCTCAGACTCACTCCCGCGTGGTTCTGACACTCACTGTGCTGCTGTTTCTCCCTGGATAATCTGCATTTAGTCAGCTAGGCTTTTCAGAGAGGAAGCGGCAAAAAGCTAAGATGCTGTGAAAGAAACAGTGAACTTGAGGAAACTGGCCCTAAATTAGAAGGCTGAAACCCAGAATTTAACACCCCTGTTGTCCGTTTCAGAATAGGGGGGCAGAACAGGAAATAACTGATGGAGCTGATAACATTCCTCAAAAAGCCCCTGCACGACACCCGGTGTTCCCTCATCTGTCCCTTCCCTTTGATTCTCTCCCTCCGTCCTCTGCCACCCCCTTTCTCCGCACGCACACTTCTGTCTCGGTATTTTCCATCAAACGTGGCAATGCCTCCTGCTTGCCAGAAAGACAAGATGGCTCGGTTGCCCTGCAGTCAATCAGACAGCTTGGCTTGCGCGGGAGAGCCTGGCCAGCTGAGTCACATTTTGACCTCCTTCATCTGCTCTTCTGAAAAGTTCTGGATCCACACAAACTCCTGAGAGTATTCTGCTCCAGAGCCCCCACGCAGCTCTCCAGGTGGGGAATCGGGGCCGTGGCCGCATCTTCACACCCAGGCGGTGGGTCGAAGGGCCCACATGATCCTTTGCTGCTCTTAAAAAACATCTTTATTTGCTGAAACGGCACGCTGCTGTCAGCCTGGTTTATCCTTGCAAGCCTTTCTGAAGTGACCTCTGTTTTGGAAGCGGTTAGTGCGTTTCTCTCTTGTTACATCTTTTTCTTCTCGCTTTAATCATTTTTGGCTGGTGCTCCTGGCTTATTCCAGTCCTAAACCTAGCACAGCTGTAGGCTCCTTTGGTGGGGACAGTTAAACATAAATGCCGCGCTGGTTTGGGGCTGCAGTGTGTTCTACATAGCCTTTAACCAGCCGTGGGTTTTTTGTTTGTGTTTTTTTTTTTTTTTTTTTTTTTTTTTGTAAAGCACAAGAAAACACGCAGTGCACCCACGGCTCCAGCTTCCTGAGAGGAATCAGCCTTTCCCGCCTCTTGGGACTTCACGCCCGTGGGGCGGGTGAGGCGGAGCTCCGTGGCAGCGCAACCCTGGCGCGGCCCGGCCCTCACACGCCGCCGGGGCCGCGACGCCGCTCGCGCGGCTGGGGGAGAAGCGCGAGCGCGGAGCTCGCGAGCCCGTGCAGGCGGGCGTGGGGAGGGGCGGCGCGCGCCTGTTTGAAGTGAGGGGGCGCGCGGCGCCGAGCCCCCTCAGGTGCGCGGCGGGCGGGGGTCGGTAGGTGATGGGAGAGGGAGGGGGCGGCTGCCGCCCTCTTTGCCTTCGCTTCCCCCGTCTCTAAGGTCCGTGCGGAGAGATTGGCTTCGGTGAGGGGTGGAGGCGGTTGGTCACCTCTGGGAGCCAAACGAAGTGCCCTCCCGCTGAGACCACGTAGAATATTCTGGAAGAGATCTGAGAGGAGGGCAGCTCGACTAGGCTTTCTTGGTAAGAAAGCTGCTTTTGCTGGGGAAGCGAGTGCTTCTGAGCACATTGGGGTGTGGGGTGGGGTGCCTTGCCTCAGCTGGTGGCTGTGGGGACACTCGGAGATTAAGTTCTGATTTTAGCTCCTTATTCCCGAGTAAGACTAATGCTACTATGTCCTTCCAACTATTTCTGGAAGCAGAGGCTTCTGGGCTGCATTTGAGGAAAAGTGGGGGTTTAGCCCTGTTGGGAAGCTGGGACCGGCTGTGTTTGTGAACAAAGGAATCTGGAAGGGCAGCAGGCTGTGTCCCACTGTAAGAGGCTGGAAACATTTCTATCTTTTATAGTCTGTCTAGGAAAGAAGGGGTTTATGTCATGTTTTGCTTTTTTGCAAAACAGGTTGGCTCTGCCCAAGGGGTCTGTGCAATGGCTCTGCCTACGTTTAGAGGCCTTATATCTCTTTTTCTGCAGTAGTAGCTTTTTTGTACTTTCTGTAACTTCAGGTAGGTAAGGAAGGTTTGTGCTAAGGAACTTTATCTTTAAACCTGCTCTCCAGATTTTGATAACTGGATTTTTCTCTCATTATTTTCCAGTTTATAAATACTATCAGTGTAAGAGCGTCAGGGAAGGGTTTTCAGCACTGCCCTATGTACTCTTCCAATGTCAGTTGTCTGTTAAGACTCTAATGGAGCATGTAGTAACTTATAAATCTTACATTAGCAGATTTGTAAATCTCTGTATAAGCTGTGTACAAAATCTCTTTACAGTGGTTCCTTAAGAAAAGGAGTTGTCTCTTGTTTGTGGCTTTTTATGGTGGTAGATATAAAAATTATGGATGCTTCTTATTTTTCTGCTGTGAATGTATTCTTTTATTCTGGTTGCTTAACTGGCAGTTAATACATACAGGTCAGGTAGTGTATGTGTGTGGAGTGGACTGTTGTAACTTCCTTTCAGGGCAGTATTTTGTTTTAAATATTATCCACTGCTGTGCTACAGTTCGAGATCTCTGGTTACGATGTTTGAGATGACCTCAGCACTGCTTCAGTAGGCAAGGAGAGCTCATCCATGTGAAATGACTTCAATTAATAGTTAATTATATGAGGTGATGATTCTGTGAGAGCAAGCTATCCCAGGTCATTTACAGCTGTCCATGTCTAGTTACAGTATGTGTAATGCAATTTGATACCTGCTACTACAAATGCAAGGGTTAAAAATAAATTCTTAATTAGGAAGGAAGTATATCTTGCCTGTGCCACAGTTTAGTTTCAAGAAGGATGAATAGCTTTAAAAATGTGGGGGTTTTATTAAAAAAAAAAACCAAATTCACAACAAACAACAAAAGAAAAAAATCCAAACCCACAAAAAACCCAACAACAAAATTTTCCAGTGAAAGTATAGCAGCACTGGTTTAAGATGTTTATTTTCTCCCAGGTTGTTTCTTTCTAAGAGAATAAGCTTTGCATACTTGCAGGTGTTTAAAAAGTATTGATTTCTGGCTAACAGTGAAAGGAGCAAATGTTTGGTTTAGTTTTGGTGGAGTTTTTTGTTTGTTTTTGGTTTGTTTCCTGTTCGTGTGGTGTAGTGCAACAGAATAAAGAAATTAAAGCACAGGGTGAAATTAAAGTTTGGGTGTTTCTGAGGCAGAGCTGTCCTGGGGGATCTGCTGCCCTAAGTAGGTGGAACAGGTGGGTATCATAAAGAAAGTAACAAGCTCTCAAGCTAAGGAATGAGAAGTGGTTGCACATGCTCATCAGTGTAGGCTTTCAGGAATGTTTCTTTAAATTTCTTAGTATCTCTAGGTAAGAAAAGTTTAGGTAAGGGTCGGATTTTGTGAAGGGACTGTGATACTGTTCTCATACCGACAGGGAAGCAGAGTTATGGGGAAAGAGAGAGCATCACATTTTTCTACTGAAATTTGAAGAAAGGAAATAATTATGACTTTATCAGTTACGTGTCAGTCATTCTGTCTGTGTCTGTTTTGACACATTCAATTCTAGTGACTGGTGGTAAAGAAGATGAGAGTGTTAAGTTTGAAGGAAAAATTTTCATGGGGGAAAGCAAGGGGAGAAAAAAACCTGTCGAAGACAATTTCTGGCAGGCAGTCGGGTTCCTGGTGCAGACAGATTGGCTGATGTTGATTGTTGACAGCTTCTGCAGCTTGCTAATTACAACTGTAAAAAATTCAGGTGAATGACAGTAACTTGAAATGTTAATTCCGCTTTTTTTTTTTTTTTATTTTGCAGCTGCAACTGTTAGTTGGCTATCGCCATAATTGATGGACACTGCCAGTTGCTTAGACAGATGGAAATTAATACTTGTGTTACTGTTAGAACTCACTATCACAGTCACGTTTTCATTTGTCTCCTGCACTGAATTAATGTGTACAAGATAGTGTGTATAGAAGGAGCAAACACAACTTTTACCTGCGGACCAGGCAGCAGCACTGTGCTCATTGTGTATCTGTGCAGAGTCATGCATGTCTAGGCTGTGGTAAAAGATGGTAAGACTGGGTTAAGGAAGAGTTGTCAGCTCTGCTTTCCTGTGGACGCAATGAATTGAGCCACCTGAGAGCTGGGCAAGTGCTTTTTAAGGTTTGTGATTTATTCCAGTCACTAGAGGTAACTATGCTTAATGATCCCCCACATAAACTGGATTCAGACTGGAATAGTTTTCTAGTAGCATTGGCTTAAATCTGATGGATGTGAGAAGTCTTAAAATGTGTAGCAGTAGCATGGGTTTTCCTGCTGCCGTCAGAACTTCACTCTGCCTTGCATGAAAAGGGAAAGACTAGAACAAGATAGAGTTGTTGTGCCTGTTTGCACTGAAGGCATGTGTACTGGGGAAAAAAAATAATAAATGCTTTCTGACACCAAATAAATAAAGTATGGTCCTGTATATGTTGAGGTTGGAGGTATGAACTCTGAATAAAGGAAGCTTCCATGCAGTGTCAGTACTTGAGGTGACTCTCACGTACAGGCTGTTTCTGCACAGTATTCTTCAGTAAGGGTAGTGGCTTCGATGTATTCCACCTGGCTTTCTATTTTCACAAAATTTAAAGGCTGTATGGTTTTATCTGATCTTGTAAGCAGAGATTGACTTAAGTCCTAAAGCCTGTGTCAGGAAGCAGGAATGGAGCTGACTCTTCTTGTTAGCCTGGCTTTTTTTTTGTCTTTTTTGTTTGTTTGTTTTTTAAACTCCATTAAATATTTGAAATGAGAAAGTATTTCTTTTTCTCTGCTTAAATGAATTGAGACTAGACCTGTCAGTTTTTGCCCAGATTATGTGCAAATGAGAGGAGAGTTTTTTGGCTTTTGAATTGTTTCAATGATACTGTACAGACAACTGAAAGTATGCTAGGCTCTTTGAGCTGGGATGGTGACCCTCCCCTTTTTTTTTTTTTTTGTATTGAGGATGATAGATATTGCAACACAGCTGCTGTTTGTTAGGCCTGTGGACCCCTTGAGTTCCATGGCAGTTTATTCAGGACACCATCTGATTTTGCTTCCTGCTTTCACATCCTGACTTAACAAGGTCTTTGCTGAGTTATTTGAAGAAGCAAGCTATTTAACCTCTCTTGACCCCCAGAACTACAGTGTTTTCAAATGTTCTCCTTTTCCTATTCCAGTTAAGAAGGCTTATTGAGCATAAGATCCTGAAAAATGTTATCTGGATGTGAGTGTGCAGCTGCAGATGTTACCAGAGTTTAGAAGAGAGAAATAACTTGCATTCCATGATATTGGAGCCATCTGTCCAACATAGAGCAGATGACCTGCTTGTTAGCATAGTGCATACTTCCATTTTTTCTGAGCTTCTGAAAAAGTTCAGATGAAGTTAAAAATTACCATAATAACGTCTGAGTGTTTGAAGACTTGTATCAGAGTTGATGGAAACTTGTGGCTTAACTTGTTCATCATCAGAAATGCAGCTGTGATCTTAACTGGTGTGTTTGAGTTGTAGTTAGTTGTATACCATGTGAACTGCAGACTGTAATGCTGGTTGAAAAGAAAATGCCTAGAGGTAGGGTAAGTAAAAGCAATTAATAATGTCAAGTAATACACAGAGGAAAGTAGCAGTGAGGTGAGGTTTTTGTAAGTAGAGGTGTGATGTTCCAGGAGGAAGAAGTGCATTTAAGAGAGTTGCTTGACTGACTTGCAGGTGGGCCTGCTTTCTCTGCGTGGTTGTGGGACAGGCTCAGTAAAATCCTGATCTCTCTGAATGTGGATTTGCTTCAGCTTCACAGGGTTTGGTTGTTGAGAAAGGAGGTGGTGGCTCGGTTTATCTCTCTGAGGACATAGTCCTTTCTGAGAGGTTCAGTCTTGTGGAGGTAAAGCAAGTCAGTGTGTGCAAAGAGCTCCTCATGTGCAGTGAGGGAGCACCACAGAAGTGTTAGTCAAAGAAGTTGCTGAGATGTTCACAACTTTTTGACTAGGGAAGTTAAGTGCATGAATTCTGAGCCCTCTGAAGCTTGCCTTTTTTTTTTTTTTTTGACAGTTTGCTTCAGGCTGCTGAGGAAAATCCTCCTTTGGCATTCAGAGATTGCAGTGAAGTGGGACTCTCCTGCCTGGAGGCGTTCATGAGCTGTATTTAGAGGTAGGCTGACATAGCTGCTATAGCAGCTCAGTTTAAGGTGCAAATGTATCTACTTGCTGTTTTGCCGCTTCTGTGAAGGGGAAGTCATGCATGCACAGTCCTCTCTCCCCATCTCTCTTTCTCCTAAGCCTCATGTGACCGAAGTGGTGCCTCATTTTGAGAGCCACCATGTCTGACTGGTAGTTCTGACCTGCGAGCTAAAGTGTAAGCAACTGCCCAGGAGCTCTTCACTGGCCTGGTTAGCAAAGCTATGATGTAAGTGTAGTTGTGCACTTGCACACAGCACAGGAGGTGTTCATACGCTAAAGGTAGGATTGTGTTGGCCACTGCTATGCCAATTACTGGATATTAATGGCAGGATAGCATGCATATGCCTAAACTGGGAAGCAGAAGGTTAATAGACGAACAGCACCAGAAGATCCCATTTATCAGTTTCTATTTATCTCTCCTTGGGAGGTGGCAGGTTTACAGTAAATACCTTCTGTCCTCCTAATTTCCTAATGATGGGGATAATGATGGAGAATGGTGAAGTCATTAACTGGGACAGCCTCTGTGCATCACTCTGTCAACCACATCTCTCCAAGACCTGCAATGAAAAGTGATGGGCCCCAGCTGTTCACCGTATTATCTTCCCTTCCCCCTCCCCATTCTCAACCCCAACTGCAGGTTTTGCAATTAAAAAGGGGGAAAAAAAAGGAAACCCCCAAACCAAAAGCCAGTCTCTTCCTCTTCCACTGCAACGATAGGCAAGTCTGCCCTGTGCGTTGTGTGTGTGTGGCAGGGGGTGGGAGGGATGTACTGGTCTGATCCTGTTTCAGTGCTCTTGGTTAAGTACAGTGGTATCCTTAGGCATAGAGGTGTTACTGGGCAAGGGGAGGGGAGTGATTAACTGAACCAGCAGAACATAGAAGGAGGTTGCGCTTCTGGGATGGAGGCATTGGGTTTCCTTTGTGCTGTCTTCTGCTCTTGCCTCCTGCTGAAGAATGTGTTAAAAGTCTGTAAAAATGTATAGCAGTTGTCTGTGTCTGAAACGGTGGCCTGGAGCACTGATGTGTTTTGGTAGTTAAAAAAATGGATGAACAAACAGTTCTCAGTCTGGGTGGTATGTTGGGGTAGAGCAACAGAGAGAGTACAGTAGCCGGGCTTTATTTCTGGATGCCACTACTTGGAGTTATAAGTTCTACAAGACAGAAAGGTGTCCCTGAAACATGAACCAAAGTTCAAATGAAGATTTGCCTAAGTAAATTGTTGCTTTGAAAGGCTTTTCTTTCTTTTTTTTTTTTTTTTTTTTTTTTTTTTTTTTTTACTTCACTATGGCATTTTTTTATAGCTGACTTGAGAGGTTTTTTTTTTTATGTTTGTTTTCCATTTGGACAATGGCTGTGACTTGATTACTGTTTTCAGAGTTAAAAGTCATTTCCCATTTGTAACAGCCATGTATTTATCCAGTGAATGCCAGTGATTTATTGCCAGTCCTTTAAAAACATTGCATTTCTGTCCCAGGGAGGTGGAAAAAACCCAACCCCACCCCACCACAAGGGTGATTGGGTGTTTTTATTACAGTGAGAGGGGGAAAAAAACCTTATGTGTGCTCTCTCCTATGCTTACAGTTTTATGGTAAATCTGAGCCTGTGTACAAGTGACTTCAAAGCTGGTTAGCTTGATTTGTTTTCTAGTAATATAATAGTTCTTCAGTGAGATGTCTTTTTTTCTTGATTGTTACAGGCACTTGCTGTGGCCCTGAGTATAGTGTAATACGATGAAGCCGTGCAGACCTGCGGGTCATGCCTTTTGCTCTTGACTGTCAGCTGTTCGTGGTGTCTGAGAGTCCAGCCTTCTGCCTTGGCATGTTTTGAAAAGAGGCCTGCCTGAAGTGAGGTTTTTCTATGCATCTAACGTGTGTTGGGCTCATAAAAGGACTCTGAGCTGTGGGAGCTTTGTATTAGAAGGGGTCATTAACTTTAAAATGTTTCAACTGAGAAATTTCAGAGCTCTCAGCAATAGACCAAGGTGGCCAGCTCAGCCAAGAGTGTCCCCTGACAGTCAGGTACAGATGTGATTGCTAGTCAGATTGCCGTAAGAAACCTAATAGTGTCCCAGAAAGTGTCATACTTGAGCTGGAGAGGCTTAAACCAGATAGCCCAGAGAGACTGTAAATAATTTTTATTAGGCTTTAAGCGCTAGGAAGATAGAGGAGCCCTTAACTTGTAGCACACCAGGAATTCAGTCTGCAGGGTTGTAGAGTGTGTGGGTCCTGTCTTTATGTGACTGATCATGTTCATTTAGCTGTGCTGGAAAATGTGACAGGAGGAAGGCAAGCACTGTTGTGGTGAGTTGATGGACTCCAGTACTGGTCTAGTTCTGAGCAGATGATTAACTGTGTTCTTAAGTGCTTCAGGCCAGATCACGATGGTACAAAGGGGCATTTTTCTGACTAACGTCTCTGTAAATATGGTATCTGAGCAGAGGGATTAAAAATTAAAGGGAATGGAACAGCTCTCTTGTTTGGGAGATGTGGTGTTAGACAGTTACTTCATTAGACAAGGTGCAGAGTAAATGTTCCATAAACATTTAATTCTCCTTTATTTTCCAATCCTAGATGTTGTTCTTGGCCATACAAACCCACAAAGATTTTTGTATTGCTCCAAACTGGTCTGGTTAGCTGCATGTTCAGGGAGTCTTCTCCCAAGGGCTTTGACTTGGGTTAATGGCCTCTGGTATCTCGTGGGTAATAACTTCATTTTGTATCTTCAGTCATAAACTTTTAGGCCAGGGAAAGTGGAGTTTGATTTCATGTGTAACAATGCAGGTCACTCAGCTTATCTCATGAGCCTTGCAGTATACTCAAGGGTTGATACTTGACCAAAGTCTGTTCTCCAGCTTTGGTTTAGCCATGTGAGGAGGTGCCAGTTCACTGGGATTTCAGCCCTCCCTGGAACAAACTGTGGGGGCTCCTTGATGATTTTGCAGTGTTACTCTTCTTGTTGAGTTGCTTTTCAGTTATTTGGCCTTGCCTAGGTTCTCCTGAAGACAAGCTAGCTAGTGTTTAGAAGTGAAGTGAAGCTTTGGATTTCAGCCCTCCTGTGTTGCCTTGGTTCCCACAAGAGTTCTTAGCTGAAAATTAGAATATGTTTAGTTGTTAATGTCTTCACTTCCCCTGGTCTGGCTGTTCAGAGTCCTGCAGTACAAATACAGCAGTCCTGGGCCAGGCTCTACAGCATCAGCTGTTTCTGTGGCTAGCCTCTCAGCTTTGACACCTCAAGCATGACACAAATCAGGCTAAACAGAACATGCGATATTAAACATCTGTTGACTTCTAAATAAGGAAAATCACATTAGTCACTCGGTAAGCAATCTGTATGATAATTTCAGGAAAACATGAGGTGGCTGTTCTCTCAGTGGAAGAAATAGCTGATAGATCTTTTTACATACATAAACTAACTGTAGGAAAGACTTAAGAGCCTAGCATGGAGGGAAGTTTTACTTCCCTGAGGTATGTTTGATGGAGAAAATGAAGTAAAAACCAAATTGTCTAGCACTGTGGAAATTTGTTTGGGTAGGACACTATCTAAGCACCAAATCTTGAGGAAGATAGATGCTGTTAAAGATAATGCTGGTCAAGTGAAAGAAATGTCACTGGAGCATTGTAATATCTATCCCAAATAATTTTTTCAATTATGTGTAACATAAAGCAGTGGATGACTCAAAAATTAATCCTAGCTGACAGCACAAAGCCAGTGAAATCTTATATTCAATTTAATTTTTAAAGGTGCAGAATGTATATCCTAACTGTCTGGCTATAGATGGTTTAAGGAAAACAGAAGTGTTCACAATGAGCATTTAGCTCTTGTTTCAGCTTGTCTACTATTCTAGCACTGGCTATTATGCACAGTTGCAGCTTCCAAAGTGAAGTGTAGCGGTGCATATCTGCAGAACATCACAGATTAATCTAATACTTTACACTGATTTCAGTGGATTTTGGCTTCCAGAAGCTTTGTCAAAAAGGAAGCTATTAAATGTGTTTTCTCTGAGTAACTAAATTCTTAATGTCTCTGCTGGGTGAAGTATACAAGTTTGGGTTCAGTAGAATGTACACACCGGATCTGTCCTATTCAAGTACGGGAGAGTTCATTGATGGCTGTGGAGAAATGGGGATTAAATGTAGCAGACTTTTTTTCTGCCCTGCCTCTGACTCCAAAATTCAGGAGCCCTGCACCTCTCAGATCTCAGTGTTTCCAGTTGCAGGCATGGTTGAAGTGTACGAATAAAACAGCATGTAACGTTAACATGGGAAAACTGAAGGTGTGGACCAAGTTTATACAGAGAGATAAACTCTGCAATTCCTAGAATTGTGTTCAGGTTTAGTTTTTTTTAACAGTATTTTACCCCCTTCCAGAACATTCTTAGTGCTGATGCTCTTCTGCCATTCCCTTGGTTAAGCAGTCTATTGAGAATCCATGTCTGAGCGTTTGGAATAGAATGACTGCAGATGCTTTAGTTGAGTTTAGGTGAACCAGGTTGTCCAGGCCTCATGGAAACCAGAGAAAATTTAGTCATGTTTATGTAATCTTTATGTTGCTTTTAACTGAAGTATAAAACCAAGTGTTGTACGACCATGCCAAGATCACTATAAAGTTTATAAAACCTATAGTGTTAGCTACTTCACAATATTAAAGCTTGGTGCCTGAAGCTTGTAACAGTTTCTTCTTTGTAAAGAAAGAAATCAGTACTGTAGACAGGTAGAGGATCCAGCTGGGGCAAGAAGCTCTGCCGGTAGCCTTCAGCAGTGGAAGGAACTGGGTGGTATAAAGCTCTCTCAAGGCTTGCTTCCTTGATCGTATTATGTTGTGCAAAACTCTGAATTGTGATTCTGCTTTGTGTGCTTTACATAGATAAATGCACACCTTTCCACACTAACCCTGCCCTCCCCCAAGCCCCAAGGAAATAACCATAAAACACAACAGCTGCACCGTGAAATACTGTGATGAGGACACAGGCCA